AGATCTTGGTCTCCTGTGTGCAGTTAAAAACTGCCGGTTTCCAGCTGGGGCTACAGAAAATGGGAATTGTGCAGAAGATATTTATACATTTGGGTGAGTAAAGAAAACAAAACCCACACTTTTGAAATTAAGGCATTATTTGCCTTGGAAATGGCAAATGGCTGTGATCAGCACCTCAATTAGCTCCTCTGCCTAATGCTGACTCCTCTTCAGGAACTCCCCTTTTTCTTCCTGCTTTATAGTACAAAAAAAAAAAAAAAAAAAAAAAAAGAAAAGTGATATGAATATTTTAATGTTTATCAGTTTTGAAAGGAGGCTTTTCATTTCAGAGTGTTCGCAGTAGCATTGAATAGCTTTGTGTCTACTGCCACATTTTCCTTTGTCTTTCTTAGCTCTGCACTCTGCTCTGTGCCATGATTTAGGTATTTTCTGACAAGAGAGCTCAGTTTAGAGCAGCAAGCCTCAGAAACTAAGTGAAAGTGAATCTTGAGCAAAGGGTTAAACTGAATCTCAGCTGTTGTGTGAATAAGAAAGAAAATTTTCCATCCAAACGTGCATTAATAGTCATGTCATATACAATCTACTTTATTCATACTTTGGATGGTCTAACAGATACTATGTGAACTTCGTCCAAAAGTCACCTCACTGTCTAATTAACATATAAGTCATATTTTAAAAACTGCAAAATTTACAAGCATATACATTTGTAGAAATAATGGCATATGAACTTTTCAGGTCAATGAACTGTCCGGTATTTATTTATCCAGTATTTATCATAAACTGAAACATATTTCTCATTAGACATGGGTGATCTGTTGTGATAGAAGTGCTGAATAATAATGATCATACATTTTGCAAGTGCAAGTACTTGTATGTGCAAATCTAGGTTTTTGCATGCTCTAATAAGGTGATTTTCAAATTTTGAGGCACATTCATGGGTTTCTGAGAAATTTTACATTTTCAGCAGGAGAACTCTGTTATTGAGTTATAAAATAATTCCCCTTTTAAATGTTTACATACCTTAAAAATATAGTCAAAGGATTTCAGAGGTATAAAGCTTGTTAAATTAATGGAGTTGTAATAAAAAGCTAGTACCTATAAAAGTTTCTAAGATATAAGCAGTTAATTAAAAAAGTATAGCAAAATAAGTTTGGAAATAAACTATCATGTATTTGTTGTGTACCATCATCTTAAAAACTTTCAAAAAGATCACACTGAAGCCAATTAAAAAAACTAAGGAATAGGACAAATGGATGGATCAGAGAAGTCTTTTTTTGAAACTTGAAGTTTTCTTAATATTGCTCAAAAAATGCATATATAAAAGAAATTAAGAAATAATTGTTTTGCCTTTGCAAAAAGTCAACCTAATGAAAACATTTCATGTTTGTTCCAAATTTTCTTCAAAAATATTGAATGTAGTTGTGATTCTTTAAGAAAAATACATTGTTTTGTTACTTATATATAAGAAATCAAAATAACTCTGTAGATTGAAGAAGAAATTTGGTTGGGGACCTTTTTTCCTGATAGAATAAGTTTTGTTGTATTTTAATGGCTCTGGTCACTTTTTCTGTCCCTGACCAATATACACATCCCTGAAATATGTATATGGTTCTTTCAGTGCTTGCTAGAAGCATAAAGCCAGATGGGATTACTGATTTCTGAATGTCGGATGATCATAAGATACTGCAGAGAAGGAAAGTTACTTCCTGGACATCTCTTCATGAAATGAAGATAAGCGATGCAGCTATCCCTACACCTTTTGGCCAAGACTCCACAGTTTCATAGTTCTACTTTTTTAAGGCCATGAGTCACATTTCAGCACTGTAGAAAAAGTAAGGGTCAGGTCTCTACTGCTTAACCGAAACCCAGTATAGACAAAAGATGGTGGGAAAAAGATGGTTACTTGCTAGGAGTGAGAGGAAGAGCTATATTGGTAGGAGTATGCAATACGGTGATCTAAAGTTGAGTTCATGGAGTACAATATGTGACTTACATCTTACTGAGCATTTGCTCACCAATGCTACTCTGCAGTGTGAAAGTATAAAAAAACTCTGCAGTGCTAAGTACGATTACTATTAAATACTGTTATTATTTCCAGCAAATAATAAAAAAGACTTAGGCTTTTAGGAGTGCCAGTTTTTCACACTGCTGTAGAAGTACTACAATAGATTTTACACCAACCGCTTGCAGTTTTGATTTTGCTCAAATTAGGCTAATGCTTGTGATACGGCAGAAATGTGGATAAGCAACAAAAAAACCCCAACAACATTCAGGATGGGAGCAGGGAGTTTACAACTTCTCCAAATTAAAATATTTTAAATGTCTTAATAAAGAGAAACATAAAGCAACATATTCATTAACTAAAACTGTGCTAAGCTTTTACTTTGTGCTTCTGTGATTACACTCAGAGAGTAACTTTTGGACCAGGCTCTGATGACAATGGGTTAGTTATGCTAAATACACACCCTATTTTGTAAGGTAGCTAAGGAAGCAGTGGGAGAAAAAAAATAATCTTTTGCATTAATTATATTAATCACTGGTAAGGGACTAAAAATAATTAATTAGGGGATCATTTAAGTTAGATGTTCTGATAATTTTGCAGCCTGATTTTTCCTAGATGCAGAGCACCCATAAATCAAGTTTAGATAAAGAAGTCAGTCACTACTGTTAATAACAATACCAAAAGTAACACAACAAGAGGGCACAAACTGAGCTATTATTCCTTTGGTGTTTGATAGCAATTTAAATTTAAGAAAACAAATACTGAAATACCTTAATACTCATTATGAAACATACAGGATAGTCATAGAGAACAATGAAATAGTTAAAAAGATGTTGCTCATTGCTGAACACTTATGCTACATTTGATCATGAAGTTGTTAGCTTTTTGGATATCAGGTGCAAAAAAGTGCAAAGAATATTTTAGTTAACTGTTACAGTACCACATTACAAAAAGTATTTTCTAGGCCACAAAGGTCACTGCTGATACCATTTATATTAAGATAAATATATACACAAAATAGTTTTTCAGTCTCCACATATATAGATATATATATATATCTTTCATGTCAATCTTGCAAAATCATGATGAAAATTATCTAGGCCACAGAATCTCAGGATGATAACAACAATGGAAGGGAAGAAGCCCACAGAGGAGAACTTGTTCTCCTATTTAAAAATTACCCAGAGCAAATGGAGGAATGAAATTCTGCAAGGCTGCTCTGTATTTATGGTGATGAAAATACAGCCTTGAGCAGGGAGGATCAGTGTTCAGAGTTACCAACCCTCTCTGGGAAAAACTGTTTCTGCCTATAGACCACGAATAGAAACCTGGAACACAATTTATTTATTTGCTTGCTGGAATTTTAAGACCAGCCTTCCTAACTTTTGTGGAGCAGTTAAGACACTTCAAGGCATATTTGCCTACCTTAGAGGTTAATTAATGGACTGGAGGCACTGGATCTGCATAAAAGCATTGTGTGTCAACCAGGCCAAACTAACCAAGCCAAAATGGTTCTTCCGAAGCCTGTCTAAACTGCTTTTTCCCTTTATAACTAGATTAATTCTCACAAACTCTTCTATTATCATAAACCAATCTTCCACTGGCATTTTTCTCATGTACACTTCTGTAAAAACACTGTTTTGGAAAATATTATCTATCTTCTCAGTTTTCTTTATACTTTACAAAAAAGCCACCACCTCAACTCTTTTCCAGTTGCAGTTCAGCTCTCAAAATCTGAGTCGCAGTCATGAAGTCTTTGCTATGCTCTTCACAGACAAAACACCCCAACCAACCGACCACCAGCAACAGAAAACCAACAACCAGAAAAAAGAAAGAAAATAACTATTCAATTGAAGTAAGCTTCAGTGTTGAAATGAGCTAAATCCACGAAATATGTAGTTCTCTTCTAGTTTTTAAAGCAGCTCACTTCAGCCAATACATTTTTGTATTTGCTGTCACTGTGTAGTCTAGTAAATGAGTTTACTAGTTCATAAAATTGTTACAGTTCAATTATATTGACAGAAAACATATCTCAAATTCATATTTAGCATAGAATACTAGAGGCATCGAGCCGGGGACCAGAAACTATTGCATGTGAGCTGTGCACTTAGTCAAAATAACTTCAAAGAAATCTAATACTGTCACACTAAATCCAGAATCAGAAAAATGTTATGAAAAATTGCAGTTTTTCATAAAATTTTTTAACAGCTAAAAGTCATTATATCAATTCCTTTAAGGTGTTTTCACATCTACAGTTTGACCTCCGTGAAGACCAAGTAAGGACTGCATGATGCTAGTGGCAAATGAGCTGCTTCAAAGGGGCTGGATGCACCTTCTCAGGAGACACCTATGTCTGTGGAGCTGCATCAACTTCCAGACAACTCACTGCAGACACATTAGCTTTCCAGATCAATACCTGTACATGTGCTGTTCAGTGTCATGCAGAGACATCCGAGCTAGCTCTTCATCAGCCAGTGGGTAGCTGAAGTAAAACAGCCTGGCTGTTTTGGTGAACAGGCTAACAGGTTCTTCTAGGGCAGCCAGCATCTTGATTGCTGGAAGATTGTAACTGCACAGATCCAGTTGTAAGACCTGTTCCAAAGGCTGAACTAAAACCCAGGTGAAGCCAATAGGGTCCTTCTCATTGGCTTCAGTGGGCTTTTGAGCAGCCCTTCCTCCCTGCCCAAGGGATGAATTGATCTTCAAACACCCAAAATGTGACAACAGTTGTTTTTTTCATGCAATATTCAGTTTGAATTATTATTTTGAGAAATTACACAGGATGTAGTGCAATTTAGAAGAAATTTACTACATTAGCTATACATGACTATTTGCTCTCTCTCAAAAGAATTAGGCATTACAAGCTGCAATGAGTGGTTTTGAATTGCTTGAGAGATTAATTTTTTTTCTGATTTCTTTGTCTATGCAAATATATAGGTCATATCAAAGCACTGCTTGGATATGACGCTGGACACATGTCAGCAAGAAAACAGGTAAATGAATTTGTATGAGGAAAGCTTATATTTGGCTCAATTCAACTTCATTCATACATTAAGAAATTATTATAAACTGTAATAGAATACTTAGAATAGGAAAAATGTATTTTAATAAAAAAATATGGATACAGTTCATCTGCAGAAGCCAAACCTTCTGTTTATGTAAGATGTGAGCTACAAGGGAGCTTTGGACACTAAACATGATGAATCCACTCTTGGTCCCTAGGGTGTAAGCGGTGGTTTTGGTGATGAACAAGATCCCTGGCTATCAAAACTGGTTGCTCTGCCAGGTAACTGCAAGAAAAGTGTTAAATGTTAGCATATCACAATCATTTCAGAGGATGAGAGACTCCCTCAAAGAACCCAAATCAAATCTAAACCCTTTCTTGATCAAAGTCTCCAGCAGAACTACTAATGGGAAGAAAAATCCTAAAGTGAACTAAAAATGACTCAGTCATTTCAGAGGAGTGGGTTTATTTCACTAATTGGGGGTGGTACCTCTGTTTCCCAATTTACATAATCCAGACAGAGCCACGCACCTGTAAAAATAGGTTTCTTTGCTGCATTGATTCGATTTAGTTGCACTCATACTATTCTTTAGGTGTTTTCTGCTGGGCTTTTTCTACCTGTCACTGGACATACTGTGCAGTCATGTCCAATGCAGTGGGGAAAACAAAATGGCCCATAATGCCTCAGACAGGAACTCATTTTTCTGCAGAGGTTGCTTTTGGTAAGAGCTAAGCAGTGTGTCGTCTGTGTCCCAAAACACTGCCGTCTGCTTCTTGAGTCTTCAAATGAATCTTTCCGAATCCAAAGCTGTGAGCATTTTGCATACAGAAAACCAGTAAGATATGGCTGCAGCAGGTTGAAGAGGGAGTCCAAGCCCACAAATTTGTAGGTATAATTACTCATGCACTTGAATAAGCTTCCAGTAAGTGCCTGGTCGAGTAACTCTGGAGGTATCTGCTGGTATGTTGCCTTAATTTAGCCTAATTAGCAGGCCAGCTTCAGATTAATATTTTAGCAACATATCTGATCATGTTAAAGATTTTTGAAGAGGAAAGGATTTCTTCTGAAATATTTGCAAATGATCTCTTCTAAGTGGATATATGTTCCTTATCATAATTTCTGGAAATTTATTATGTCTTTATTTAATCTTATAATGCCATCAGTGCAGCATGGAAACTTTTGAAATGGCACACTTAAGTAACCAATAAACCCATGTAACTAAATTTAGGTTGTGCTAAGGATCATAGAGCTTCTCCTTAGAGACTTCACCGATTTTCATGATTTTTAGAAGCACGGAAGCATGAGAGAGGCAGAACATTCAGTATACTGAGAAGCAGGAAATTTGGCTACTTCTTACCTCTAGTAGTGGATGCCAGTGTGTTATTGGTTTACGTGGGTAAGCCAACATTTCATTCCAGTGGTCTCTTCCAAGCCCTTCAGCATCAATTCCTGTCCGACATACCCCAATGACCTCATTGTGCCCTACTCTGAGAATTGAAGAAAGGCAATTTTTTAAAAAATAAAACCAGTTTTAGTAATATCTGATGTAATTCAGTGTACTGGTTTAGTGCAGCACAGAATACATGCACAAAGTTTCCACATTATCTATCACAGATATTAGTTTTAGCAGTAGCATAGTAATATTATGGTCTAAAATGGTAGTGTCAAAAAACCTCCAGCCACTACATGCTTCTAGTAGCTATAAAAATTGCAATGAAGACTTAACCCTTGCCATTAAAACGTTACAACCCAAAGAATACAAGGAGAGAAACGGAGCGTAATGCACCAAATGATCTAGAAGGAAAGCATGCTGAAATTTTGTCAAGAGGAAGGTGAAAGAAAATAGTGCAGAATACATTTCCTGCTTCAAATCCTTCAGATGTTATTTCACACTCTATTTTCCAGCTGTTACTGTTGTCATCATTGGAACTTCAGTCAGAATTGTGAAAGGCAAGAGGCATTGCCATGACAGGCTATGCCTTAATACTTCATACTGCTGGCAGTGCCATACAGACTTGTTGAGGAATTCCAGAAAATAATTTCTGTACCTTTCCCATATGTACGTTAGAATGTTTCCTAACTTTCTCTTACCAAATACTTTGAAAGGAGCAGCTGAAGAGACTGAAAGTGTGCAGGCTGCTGTTCTTTTCTCTTCCCAACGGCACCATAGTGCCCTTTCACATCTGACTGAGAAAGTCTTCCTGACAGAAGTTGGAGGACAATCAGAAATCTAATGGCAAGGAAAAGCAATCTGAAGGTTTGTGTTACTAAATTTGACTTTCCTTGTTTATTTGCCCTGCAATCTCAAGAGCTCACTACTAATAGCACTTGAATGAAGCAGACTTGGCTTGGGCTTGATTCTGTCAGTCACTGTCTAGTTTAACCTAAAGTCCTTGAACATCTCTAAGTAGGAATCTCTTCCTGAAGAGTTCTCGGTGAGGACATAGAAAATTGAGGCTCAGATGTTTTATCAACCAGGGCTGAACCCAAAGGTTACAAAGATTCTCTATTGACTCAAATGAAGAATTAATTATTACTTAATTCAATGAGGCAATTAGCATCTAATTCTATTTTAGTAATCCTTTTTTTTTTTTTTTTTTAAGTTCAAATATGTGCCATTTAAATAGAAATTAGAAGTGTGAGAGACTTTTTTAAACTGGGAGACATATGTGATTTATAAAGATTTTACATAGTCCAGCCACCAGATGGGGAAAGAAATGTATGCCAAGGCTAGTGGCCCGTAAGAAGTTTAAGACATGTTTCTTCTGCATCACATTTATTTATGACACAGATAAAATGGCTTGAGCTCTAAAAGGTGTGGGAGCTTTAAACCTCTACTTCCTTTTAAAGCAAAAGACCCAAAGGCTTTATCTTTTGTGACACTAAGTTCAGGGAGATGGAATGCAGTTGCTTGCAATGATCAGGTAACTTCTCACTGAAGATTAATGGCAAGAAAGCAAACTGTGCTTACCGATCGTAATCCATCACTGCAATGGAGAGGCTGACCTGGTCCACATTCTCTGGAGGGATATCAAAGATGATGGCCTCATTATAAACGGGATTGAGCGTGTTTTTCTTTGTGGTAGTCTTCCGCTTTTTCAGTCTTCGCCCCTCACACATCAGTGACACTTTGACATATGGATCTGAGTAACAGACAATCAGTTGCGTGCATTTGGACTCAAAGTCATTTAAATGTGTAGTATAAGAGCAATATATTTTTTGTAGGAATGTCATATGAATAAAACAATGCAAAAGAAAAACACGGGCATTCTGAATAAGACATGGTGACTGCCAGACCAAAGACAGCCAGTAGATCTGAATAGTGTCTATACCCATTCTCCTGCTTCTTCCATTTCACAACAATGTTAAGCACACAAAACCCAAGGAGTTCTTATTTGTCCCCTTCTTGCCTGCCTTCTTATTAAAAAAAGTAGATTCACCTGATGCGCCAGTTATGTCCATTGCTTTGAGATTCCTACATTTGATGACAGTTAATGTCATTCTCCCGGCAGTAGGCAAATAACAAAGGGAAAACATGATCTCACCCAAATCTATGCTCTCCTGAAAAAGAAAATAAATGATTAGCAATCTGACCATACTGCCAATAATTCAGTTCAGATCTCGCAGAAACTTAGAATTTCTTTTTTAACATGAAGAGACTTGTTTTGCAGCCTCAGGTGCTTCTGAGGATGTCACAACCAGTGTCCAGAAATTATTTCTATAAAATACTGAAAGGGTGCCAACAGGATAATATTTTAGTGACAGGATTTAGAATTACCAAATAGAGAAATTATTAAAAAGCAGAACCAAAACTTTCTGGATTCCTGATATGTTTGTGTTGTATTCACATAAATGAAAAGGTACGGAATGTGGAAAGTCAATTTCTGCTCTTGAAAAGACTCAAACTCCATTATTTCCAATAGAAAGAAATTTGGTGGGATATTTAGATCACATACATTTACATTACTTTTAGCCACTGGAATTTATGTAGGAGATATATTCCTGCACATATGTATGCATATAAAAAGTTTATCCTGTCTAAGTGCTTTGAAAAGATGAATGTGCTGGTAAAAGCTGCTAGTTTTATTGCTCTTACTGTGCTTTGAGGGGGGCTGCTCTGGAAGAAAAGCAAAATAATGAGTAGCACCTACAACTTCCCTGGCCCAACAGCAATTTTTTTGAAGATAACATATTTGGAAAGATGGATAAGGTCCATGTGGATCTTGATAATCCTCACAAAGAGATAGTTTCTATGTTGAGACAATGTGCTGTGAATTCATATAATATCATGTTGCTGTACAATACAGATGCTGCAAAGTTTCAGAAATGTAATCTAAGGAAGAGAGGTTCCATCAATTCTTATTTCTTCTTTTCTCACAGTTATATAATTATCCTAATACTACAAAAGTTTACTTGTTGAGTTGCTAGTTATGTCCTAAATTGTTCCTTTTAAATATAACCCCAAAGAAAAGAAAGTTGCATATTAAAAACAACTTAGGATTTTTAAATACAAGCTTACAAGGAGCGTGTAAGGAAGTCACTTCTGTATGGCAGCCACTCTCAAGCATGCTTATGTGATTGCAAAGGACTTTCTCTGACCTACTACTAAAAGGTTTATTTTTAATATCTCAGGTCCAATATTTTATCTGTTAAAACTATAGCTACCCTGAGAGTACAAATTTGTTTGAAAACTGCTCTATTTATAGTACAGCTGCTCTAACATCAGAAGGCAAGTGTGATAAATCTTTAAATGATACAGTATGATTGCTGCATAGATGATAAATGCATTACTTACAGTTATAAGACAGACTGGGACTTACTCCTCACATTTAGCTGCTTATTTGAACATTTTTATTGACTTTATTTGGCTTAATATTCTGCCTAAATTAAAATAAGCACTTCAGATCTTTCTTGATTAAAGATGGACTTCATCACATGCTTCAGGGAGGTATTGTTGTTTGTTTATTTAGGGTTTATTTTTGTCATTTGTTCTGTTTTTTTTTCTTTTTTTCCCTGCTTTTCAGTCTTTAGATTGAAGAATGCAGTCTTAGAATAGCTTTAAATTCTCCGTTGCACTGTTAATGAAATATTGACTTTTGTGTAGCTTGGTCAACTCACATGTTCAGTCATTTTTCTAGGATTCTGTTCTGAGAATTAGTAGATTGATAAGCATGTGAACATGTACTGTGGGCAAATTTCATGCTTGTCAGGATTTCAGGATTTCAGATTGCTCAGGATTTCAAAATGATTTAGCTCATTCAGTCCACATAGGATAAATACAGCTATTTGACATCTCCTTAGCTCAAGTCCCGTACATTGCCACACACAACACAGAGTTTTGTGCCACAGAGTACATTAATAAATTCACTTTTCTATTCCAGAAAATATAAATAAAACTTGAAAAAATGAAGTGTAGTTCTTTTCACTCATTTGTTAAAGTTGCAAGTGCTCTCTATTTTGTCATATCTGAAATCTCTTTAAAGCACAGCTTCTGTTATGAGCATTACTTTCTGAATTCAGAGTCTGATTGTTGTTCCTCATATCCATATGCCAAAGAGATCTCGCTTTATTGTTTGAAAAGGAAATAATGTTACCCCACATCCAGTGTTTCAAAGCTTAAGGTCTATGTTGAGAAAGGTGATGAAGATGGGCTGGATCATAAAACACAATGGCCAGCTCATGAAAGGGACTAATTCTTTGTTTTTCAGCGAAATTACTTATATAAGTGAATAGAGAAAAAATATTTTTTGCAAGATGTGAGTATGAACTTGAGTATTCTATTATTTCTTTCTCAAGAGAAATTGGGTAAACACTCAAAGGTTTGGGTTAGCTCAAATGATAAACGAGAATACAGGCAGAGCTATTTATCATCACTTTTATACTTTAAGAGAAGCATTATTCAAAAGACTTGAAAACTCCATATGGTGGTTACTTTACAATAGTTTTTTGAAAAGCAGAGAAAAGCATCAATGCTTAACAAAATGGCAAGCATTTGATGCTTATGCTCAGTCCTTTCTTTCCTTTCTGAACACTATGTACTGAAGACATATTGGAAAAAAAGCTTGGAAAATCCCCTGCAATCAAATCTAGTGTTTCTGACTGTGCAATGAATAAGCAATATGACTTAACGCAAAAAGAAATTCTTGATCAACGAATGGGTCCAAGCACAGCAGACTGCTCAAAGGGCAGATATACTGAAGTTTACCAAAGTTCTGTAACCTGTGTATTGACTACTCAGTCTGACATGGTAAGGTATGATTTTAGGATTAGGAAAAGGCTCTCTATCACACCACTGTTTATGCAGGCATTTTCTGACACTTAACACCTGGAAAAAATGTGGCTTGTGCTGCCCTGAAAGGCCTGATTTTCTTATTATAGAACGACAGTCATTTAGCTCTGTCCACCAATTCAATAGACAAATTCTGCAATACACCAGAATAGACATTATTTTAAATAAACAGTCCTACCTATATCAGAGATATTTGAGTCATTCATTGTGATTTCAATGGGCTGGAAATAAAAGTAGTAGTTACCCTGCAGTAATCTGTAGATACCATTTAACTCTACTCCTGGTGGAGAGAACTGGCCATCATAGAATGCCATCACAGACTTGGATTTCCCATGGTCCCCAGATTGAGTTAAAATAAATGTTTGCTCAGAATCCTTCAAAGAACTCTGATATTTTTATATCTTTTTAATTTAATTTGGTACTAGTTGTGGCATCTGATGTTTGCTGACAGTTTTGTAGACAGTATCTTTTCGCTTAGTAAGGAGTAGAAATTCCAAGTACTTTTACTTAGTTTCTACTTTTAGTATCTCCTGAAGTTGGTTATGTTTGAGTGAACTGATTATATTTTATTAGGACCTCTACAAGTCATAGGGCAACTGGGGATTAAGGCATTAAAATGCATCATTAAAATAAATATTCTTTGGAAAACAATCACACAGGCTAACGCCCGAGACTTACAATCTTTCAAATGTTGTTTTGAAGGATTAATATTCTGCATATATATGATAGCAGCAGAAACTTGAACAGGGATATCACCATTTCCCCCCATGCACTTTTTTGTTAACTTGAGAACTACAGGTTCATTAATTTGGGGCCGAAAATATAGGTTCAGAGCTAAATAATGAACAAAGTAAGGTTCAGCATTTAAGCTTCTCATGGCAGTCTTTCTCTGTCTACCACATTGTTTATAATGAGTAGCATTTTTAAATGCCCTGGATCCTTCAGTATTATTGATTTTAATTGAGATTTAAAAATAGAATTTAATTACTTCAGAATCCCAGTGCTCCAGCAAATTCATATTTTTCTCACTTTATAATACACTAGATAACTAAGTTCACACAAATCATCTGAGAGGAACCATTGAATTCAAGCAAATCTGAAGACACCTAGGCACAAGCCACCCTCAACAGTCATGTCTGCATTACAGCAATCATGTCTGCATTACAGTCCACCTCAAACAAAACACAGCTCAGAAGACACAAGCCTAGACTGGGTGGTTGCGATCCATACAGATTTTTAACTATGCTTCACAGCGTCTTACATGTATCGTATATTCACCTAGAACCGTGCCTTATTTAGGTAACTCACATGAAAATTTCCCTCTTTTTTAGGCCTATTATGAGTCTTTTTCTTCTTAAATTAAACTTAGATTTCAATTAACAGCTAGCTTTAAAGATGTTTGTAATGATTCCCCCCACTGACTTCCAATAACAGGTAAAATAGCATCAAGCATAGAGGCACTAATGCAAAAGGAAGCATTTGTTGGTACTCTATGTTTCTTTCATTTATTTCCCTTTTGTGTACACAAGCTGTCATACAGTACTAAGGAACTGGAAAGGTGGCAAGTGCTATACCAGCTTCAGTTACTTTTATGGCTCTCAGTTTACCTTCCTATCCAACCCATTTTCTGGTACAGCAACGCTAGAATAAAATAAAACAAAGAAAACACTGATCTTAAATGTGTATGTCAGCTATTGAGATGACCTTGGGTTTTTTAGCTATAGAATACAGATTCTTCAGATAGATAGCGTTAATTCTCATCCCACACAAGCAATCACACCCGGATGAATGTGCTAATAATATTTTCCATTAGGTTACCATGGATCTATCCACATTGCCTGCTTTAGGGACTCTTGGAGAATCAGGTGTTGGCAAAGTTAGATGAAAAAAAGGTCCTTATTCTATTATTTTTATTATTAGACCAAATGGACAGCAGTGCTCTCATTTTCACATTTATGCCTCTAGAAGTAGCATCATTTCTACAGAGGCTGTGATCCCTCTGCACAATGCGTATACACAGGGTAGTGATGTGAGGATTAGTATGAAGCCCTTGTAGGAGAGCACCAATTAGGTTGACTGAGTTTTAGAACTGTTGCTGCTGGAGAAAGCTTTGCTGTTTTGTTATTCTAATTAACTTTCCCATTTGTTTCCATTAAATTCAATAGAAGAGACAACTTCTAGCTAGGAACCTCTGCAAATTCAGTGAGGAAGTTAAGACAGAGATCCTTCCATGTTCAGGATAGTCTCTTCACCCTTAATCCTGAACTGAACA